TGTTCGCCAATGTGGTTGATTTACCATCTGGTAAACCATAGGAAAACCATAGAAATCCTAGGTAAACCATAGGAAAACCATAGGAAAACCATAGGACAATGGAGGTTTACCCTCGGGTAAACATACAAAAAGCTATTGAAAATGGTGATAGACATAGTGGATTTACTGATTTACGCATTGAAAAATGTGATGTTCCATCGTTATGTTAGTTTATGTGGTTGATTTCTTTGTGGTTTCCATGAAATGTGGTTTCAATCAAATGTTCGAATTTTCGGCTAAGTCAGTGGAGCGAAAAACATGTGGTTGACTGAATTGCAGTGAATGGAGTGCATCACTGAATCTCTATTTCAGTAGGATGTAGTTCCAAAAACATTTGGCGCAGCCTGGGACGTCAGTCACACTTTGCGGTGGCTTTCAGGCTCAGAGAGAACGAATCTTACTCCAAAGATTTTATTGTTGGTTGGTGGTTTCAAACATTTGGATTATTTTCCATTTCAAAAATGGGATGTCATCCTTCCCATTGACTCATATTTTTCAAGATGGCTATTGAACCACCAACCAGATTGGTTTATTCAGTTTATTCCCCAGCCGCAAGGGGCGGCTATTCGTTGGGTCCTTGGGTTCAAGACGTGGGATGTAGCTCCATGGGGGATGCCAAACTTCGCACGCGCAACGCAGGAATTACTGATGCATCGGAAGGTCTTGGAGCAGTGCTTGGAGGCGCCATTGCCGTGGCGATGACAAATGGATCAGGATGAACCACTGGCGATATCCTTGGTATTAAACCCATAAATCATGGGTTTTTTGAACTGGAAGGTCCTCGGAATAAAAACATCTTATTCCTAGGGGTCCCCACGGTGGGGGTCTACTAAGGTATGGTATATATAAAAAGGAATCATGAGCATCTGAGAACTGAGGGATAGCGATAGTAGTGATCAGTGGGGACTGCATACCTCAATGACTTGACCATGCCCATAAGGACTCATAAGGTCACTGGCCACATATACTGGTATGGTCAAAATGCTCAACTCGTGTTTACGGTCGGATCCTTTGCACTTACTGTAAATTAACACTTTGCTATTGAAAATTACCATCAAATTGATAAGTATAGAATCTTCTATATCACCCCACAAACTATATAGATATATCATATATATCTGCTATCAATCATATAGTTATTGTAGTTAAATTCATCAACCTCAGTCGCAAAACCTTTTTTTTGCTTTCCAGGTCTAGGTCTAATGGGCATCGGGCCTTGACAATCCCGCTGTGTCCAGGTTCGAGAGAGCGTGCTGGAGCGGCTTCTGCGGCTTCCACTGGTTTTGTGAAGCGCTCATTTCCCACACATATCCCTCTGGTAATGACTAACATAGCTATGGAAAATGGCCATAGAAATAGTGGATTTTCCCATGAAAAATGGTGATTTTCCATAGTTATGTTAAATTACCAGAGGGTATCCCAGTGGTTTCCCGCAAAAAAAAAAGCCTAATTTCACTGGGAGATGTTTGGGAAATGATAAGCCACCAAAATGTTCCAGTCTCATGAGTTGGGACAAATGACCAGAGTTTTCGGTTGGATGTATTTGCTTGTTTCACAACATAATACTGTAGATTAATCTGGTAAAATTAATACATCAATCATAAAGCTTAGGTTTTACTGTAGTCTTTTGGAATCTTTTGGAGGATTGGTGGGGGGTTCCCAAGTTTTCGCACCACAGAGTGGCTGCCTCTTCGGCGCAAGGAGTTGTTGGAACACCGTGAAGCGTTGCTTCAATGCCTGGAGATGCGGGAAGGATTGCAGGTGGGAAAATGTGATAGGTAGGTACTGTACATATTGTATATATATATATATATATGTACATCCAGATAGGTACGTAGAGGTACATGGAGGTACATGGAGGTACATGGAGGTACTTGGTTCTTTGCTGCATTTGCTGCTCTTTTGGCTCTGATCAATATGTTTGAAAAAATGTGACAATGGAAAAGTACCATGTTTTAGTGGATAACTATTCCACAGATGATCACAGATGGATATAAACGCGACTTTTTCTGTTGTTATGATAGCCGGAACGCAGAAATCCTTGCAAGAAACCCTGGGCCCTACCTGATTTTACCATCTGGGGCACAAAGATGGCTCCCTCAGGGGGGCGACTCAATGACCACCATGTGAGCAGTGAAACCCCTGTTGGTTGATGATGTTTTTTGGGGGATTATACTAAGCATTACTAAGCTATAGGATAGTAGTAATATGTAGTAATGGTACCATTACTAATCATATTACGAATGGATTCCCACCAATTCGTTCCCTGAAACCTTACCTGGTTGGTGGTTTCAAACATGTTATATTTTCCATAATATATGGGATAATCCTTCCCATTGATGAACTCATACTTTTCAAGATGGTTAAAACCACAACCAGTTACTATTACTAATGGAACCATTACTAACCATTACTAACCATTACTAACCCTTACTAACCATTACTAACCATTACTAACCATTACTAACCCTTACTAACCATTACTAACCATTACTAACCATTACTAACCATTACTAACCATTACTAACCCTTACTAACCCTTACTAACCATTACTAACCCTTACTAACCCTTACTAACCATTACTAACCCTTACTAACCATTACTAACCATTACTAACCCTTACTAACCCTTACTAACCATTACTAACCATTACTAACCCTTACTAACCATTACTAACCATTACTAACCCTTACTAACCCTTACTAACCATTACTAACCATTACTACTAACCCTTACTAACCATTACTAACCCTTACTAACCCTTACTAACCCTTACTAACCCTTACTAACCATTACTAACCATTACTAACCCTTACTAACCCTTACTAACCCTTACTAACCATTACTAACCCTTACTAACCCTTACTAACCCTTACTAACCATTACTAACCAATGATGATTACCATCCTTCTGAACGGGGAAAATTTGTCTGTTCCCAGTCTCCGGCCTGGCGCCGGAGTCGGACTCACCTCAGCGTTTCGCATGTTTCGCGTAGGTCATAGGAGAGGTCGTGGACCGTCCCAAGCTGAGATGCTGCAGATGGTGTTTTGTCATGGATTTAGTGATAAAGCACAAATTAAGCATAAATCAATGGATTTACATAGTGCTGAATGATGGATAAAAATGATGGATAAACATGGATAAAGCATATTTTTTGTTTTATCTCAGATGATCTCAATTCTTATATAATCTGATATAATCTGTATCAAGTGCAAATGGTTGGATTTGGTTCCGGTCTTATCCATTGAGGTACCTCTGAATTGGACCTGTCTTTGGCTGGTGTTTCGGACGCTTGGCGAGTCCCATTTCATGGGAATAGCAGCTGACTTGCCGTACTTGACCCATCTTGACCCATCTTGACCCATCTTGACGGCATTCCCTATGTTGGGAGTTGGGACCCCAAATAGTCTGGATTCCCTACTTACAATCACTAAAATTGGATAAATTGGGTGTTTTCTTCAGGTCCCCAAAGTTTTCCAAAACATTCAGATGACAAAAACCGGCGGTCCGTGTTTGTTGTCTCCGATCTTGTAACCAGGGTTTGCACCTCGCCGAACCCGTCCTTTTATCTGCAAGATCCTCCTTGTCGAAATACCTAGAGCTAGAAAAACCCAGCGATTTTTAGAGTGGTTTTCCATATATTGCATGGAGGTTAAAAAATGCCCACTTCCATCATCTTCAGTGTGAGTTGCCTGTTTTCATATCGTTTCCTACAAAGTGGGGCCCCAAGATTAAGATAGCTAAGTTGGGGCTCACATAACTCCAATTTCACTATGGTTTATGATACTTATAAGATCTTATAACTATAGTATTCATGGGATTTGTACTGATTTATCTAATTATGGTTAATAAGGAACTATGATGGTAAATCTGATTGGAATATCTATAGTTTTGTTCACATCACGTTTGGGGGCCCCACATCACGTAGGGAAATCCCGGCCGGATTTCGGTGGATTTCCATGGCTACTTCCAAGGACAACACTGCACGACATGGCCGGGCCATTGCCAGCCTGACGGAACAACAGCAGCGTGCGGCGACTTTGGGCGAAGATCATATAGATGTGGAAATCCATCGGTTTCCTCAGGAACAATCTACAAACGATATCAAACGATTAGTTATCATAATAGAGTATATATATATTATATATATTTACTTATATACACGTATGTATAATTCTATAATTATATATATATATACGTACGTATATAATTTATATCATGTTACATACGTATGTTAGTTTGTATATACTGCAATGGTGGGTACCATGGGCCATGTGTGGACCGCAGGTACAACGCAAACCTTGGACGCAGTGATCCGGGCCGTGGGGGGACAAAGGTGAAGGAGATCATCCTGGGAAAACCCATGGGAAAACCATGGGAAAACCGTAGAAAACCTAGGAAAACCCTAGGAAAACCGTAGAAAACCTAGGAAAACCCTAGGAAAACCGTAGAAAACCTAGGAAAACCATAGGAAAACCGTAGAAAACCTAGGAAAACCATAGGAAAACCGTAGAAAACCTAGGAAAACCGTAGGAAAATGGAGGTTTACCCTCTGGTAAACTAACAGATAGCTATTGAAAATGGCCCAGTCGAAATAGGTGATTTACCCATTAATAGCATGGTGATGTTCCATAGTTATGTGGCTGTTTACCAGAGGTTACCATTTTAGGGAGTATTGGGACTATATCAATGGGAATTGGAAAGTAATAGTAATTGGATATTACAGCCCATATAGTGAATTTCCATTTATAGTGGATATTACTTTCTGGTAATGGGAAATTTACATTAAAAATGCAGGTTTTAATGGGAACATCAACGAAATAATGATGGATGTTTCATTGCCACGTTTGATTACCGGAGGGTATTTTTTTTTGGGGTAGATTGGTCCAACCTGTTGAATTTTATTGATTTTTAACTACCTCTCCTTTTCCTTTCCTCTCGTCTCCTCTCCTTCCACTCTGGGCCTCTCCTTCCCAAACCTCCAAAAATCACAAAAAAATGGACGGGCAGCGCCTCGCTCAAAACCACGGGTTTTTTTCAGCACGGCAGTGAGATGTGCTGGGAAGGTTTGGAGGGGATGGATAGGTTTCAGATGAGGCCGAAATGCATTGTTGGGACAACTGTCCTAACACCCCCACCCCCCTCTTAATCAGGGGGATAGAAAAAATCTATCGCTATGAAGTTATAGACAGTGCACACAGATTCTCAGATACTGTACTTCTGTATAATTGCATTTTTTTTTCGCACCATTTTTATCCGCTATGATTTCTTCCCAATAAGAGGCCGTTGGGGTATCATTGTGTATGATTCTTACCATTATCATCTGATTATTTCGGGATATCTTGGGCTTCAATAGAATCTATCTCTGATGTTGGTGTTTTCGCTGCCAATTTTTGTTTCTACAAAAATTGCTAGTTTTGTTGTATTTTTACTACCCTCTGGATATGACTAACATAGCCATGGTATAGATGGCCCATAGAAATAGATGGTTTACCGAACTTAAAAATGGTGATTTTCCATAGTTACGTTAGTTTACCAGAGGGTATTATATACTTCTATAATCTTCTATATACTATGACCACTACTATTCCTAGCATTGGAGGTTTCCTAAATGAGGGTATCCCAATTCCTCATCCCCGTAGACGATTTGAGTATTCCCATGGTGACCTGTGGGGATCCCCCATGACTTGAGAACGTTCCAAATAGTGATTTACCCTCTGGTAAACATACAAAGTTCGCTATTGAAAATGACCCAGTCAAAATAGTTGATTTACCCAGCTATAAAATGGATGAAAATGGTGATTTTCCATCGTTTTTTGTATGTTTACCAGGCCGGGTAACAACAATGACACGGGGATCTCATGGGGATGTCATGAGATGTCCCCCATGGACTGCCAAGGTCAAACGCTTGGACCGGAGTCGTTCGCGCCAGGCGGGGTTTCGGAGGGGTCAGGTTCCCTGGGGCCCCTGACCCAGCAGAAAAGTCATGAAGACTGGTGATTTCACATGTGTTTCTGGTTGGTGGTTTGGAACAGCTATACTAAACCTCCATTTATGGTTGGGATTTTCCATGGCTATGTTAGTCATAACCAGATGGTAGATGATGGTAGTATATTTATATTCACTATATCTGCTTGGTGGTTTGGAACAAGTTTTATTTTCCATTTCATATATGGGATGTCATCCGAAACCCATTGACGAAGTCCATCATTTTTCAAGATGGTTAAAACGTGTTAAAACCACCAACCAGGTTTCCAATGATTTTGATTTTCACAAATGAGAAAAATCCATTAAAAAAAAACCGTCGTTTTACCACAACCGGACCAGTGTTTCGGACAGATTGGCTATGGTTGGGCCTGACAGGCCCAACGCCCTTCTGGAGACGCCACGTCGGTCCCTTCTGAGCCGGTGCGGATGCTCTGTCTTTCGGAGGATGGAGGGTGGAGGGTGGGCGGTGCTGACATGTTGCCGATGTGTACGTTTTAAATTTTGAAGATCATTTTTTGGTAGATTTTTTTGATTGACATATGTTGATATTGACACTGTTGGGATTTCTTGAGTTATACCCGCACGTCGAAGTTCGATCTGTTGGTGAAACTCACTTGGCTGCGATGCGGTCTTGGACAGGGCACATTGCCCAGCTATCATGGGTTGGTGTTTCAGCCGTTCTTTGCTCAAATTCTATCTTCAATTAGCAATATGACTTGCACTCGTTGGCTCTAAGCAGGGTTTTTTTCGGTTAGTGATGTCACCCCCAATATACCAACAGAATTGTGGCTTTGTGGGGGACGTTCATGAGGAGCGTCAAGTTTGGCACGGATCCATGATCAGCCACCACAAATCGTGGTGACTGGGGTTAGTTCATGATAGTTCACCCATCTGGGTGCATTACAACGACCGAACCCTGTTCTCCCTCACTGGAAAACATGGTTTGTTTGAGGGGAATCATCCCCATTCATGGCGGAACTATTCAGATTAGTGAATTATTATAATTTACCCAGACCCATGTTCACCCATAGCAACTGGAATAACCCTAGTGGAGACTTACGATCCAAGCCGACCACGACCAAGGCGTCAGCCCGTACTTCCCAAGGCGCTTGAAGTTTCGCCAAGCGGGGTTTTCAGTGATCCTGGAGATTTCCGAAGCAAATGTTTAGATGGATTCTTATGGTCTACATTTGTCAGCAAATGAGACAGGCCTGCCCAATCCATGTTGCTGTGGTTCGAAAGGTGTGTTTCTCCAGCCAACAAGGAATATCATGGTTTTTTGCAGGACTCATACTTTGCATAGAAAATGATCATGGACTCCCAAAATGACCACATTCAAAAGAGGGGAAAAACTATAAAACATCAGAAAACGTCAGAAAACATCTATAATCAAGATTACTCAAGTGAGATGCGTTCCCCATTGAAAAGTCTGGTTTCTTGTCCCCATCATAGTGCCCACGCCACTTTGCCAGGTGGTCTCGATGCTCGGTCAAGCTGCCGAAGTTTGGGGCAGCGGTCAGAGATGGGTCTTCCAGCTGAAACACCACAGCTGGGTTCCAAAGATGGTTTCACAACCCCATTTTCTATGGTAGTCTTGATGATGTGTGATTTTCGCCTCATTTTCGCCTGATTGAGTTGTGTATGTTCAGGATGTTCAGGTCATTTAAGATGTTTGACACATACATCAGACCGCAGTCCGCAGTCCTGCGGAGTTGGTTCAAGCGCATCCGTGGGACTCCACCTTACGGAAATGATCCAGTAGACATGCTATTCGCATGAATGTTCGAAAACAGTACCTACAGTATGTGAATGCATAATGATACATATACATTGTGTGTGCACACTTGCATATGACCATACAATCATACATACACCATATGCATCGGTTTTATGTTATTATCAGTTATCATGCACCTATATGTTGACAACCGGGCTGTTGTTTTCAATTTGATCAAGGTTCTTCTTTGATTTGGTGCAGTTCCAGTGGACTGTCCAGTGGGATATATTTCAGCCGGGACTATGGGGCAAAAAAACCCAAGTTGTGGGGGATTATGACCATAGTTCCAGACTGTTACATAAGTAGCAACTAAACAAGTTATGGTAACTTCAAATTCTGGTTGGGGTTACCTATGGGTTACCTTATTTCTAGTTGCCTTGCTACTAACATATAGGATCATATAGGTAAACTATGGTCCAATGGTAAACTTGTAAGTGGGTAACCTATAAGTTGCCTTGTAACTAGCAATTTGTGATGCGCAAGTTGCCCAAGTTCATCCTGCCATGGCCATGTGGAGGCGATTTTAGGGAAAAATACTGAAGCCATGGAGAAGCCAGGAGATTGGGATCGTTTTCATGTTGAGATGGTTGTTTTGTTGGATGTTTTTGTAGGAAAAACAGTGGAAGATATAGGGAGTTAGTATGATTTAATGGGAATATATATATATATGATTATATACGTACTAATACATGATTACAAATTATATATGTATATAAATATATGATTATATATATATAATGAGAATATGATGAGACCTACAGTAATAGGAGAATCAAACATGGCGGGCAAACGGCGATTTTCCAGCGATGTTTGAGAACAAAAGAGGCTATTTGGTATATGTTCATATACACTGGATATAAGAAATAACATGCACACACATGTGTTGATGCCAGCATGTGCACACATACACGCAGGTAATATATATATATATATCTGGGTGAATTATAACGACCTCACTGTTCTCCCTCACTGGAAATCATAGTTAGTAAGAGGAATCATCCCCATTCATGGCCGAACTATTCAGGTTAGTGAAATATTATAATTTACCCAGATATTTGAAATTATCCACAACAAAAACGATTTGAGCTCGGCTTGCCCTCTGGCGAGGAAACCACTGACCAGCCATGTTTGATTACCAGAGGTCAAGCTATAACCCAAAGAAAGAACAGTGAAAAATCCTACGAAATAAAATCGAGGCTTAACGTACTAAAAATCATCTAAAACCATCTAAAATCTAGATGTTCAATGATGATTTTCACTGATCGTTACTAATGTTTACCCGGAATCGTCCACAAAAATTGCCGTGAATTTCGCAGGTGGATCTCCTTCACCTTGGCTAGATACTCAGCGCGGGATGGACAGGCTTCTCTGACGAATTTCTGTTGCTGAAAGAAACACCATTTTATCATGGCCATAAATGTTGGTCCAGATATCCCTGAATATATCTCCCAGTATAGAAAGTGTCAAAGGGTTTTTTTTGGTGATTTCTGGACGGAATTGAGTTTCAAAATGCTGCAAAGGTGTCTTTTGTTGATGATTGTTTGGTGGAATTGTTGTTTGGAGTTGCTTGAAATCGTTGGCATGGACAGTTGGTTCAATGACAAGGCAGAAAACATGATGCTGTCACACGCAAGGCAAACATTTGAAATTGAAAAGGATTGTCATATTTGCTTATTGGGTCCATGTTACCAATAGAGATTCGTTCTGAAATCTCACCCAGACTCAGCCATGAACTCTGACCACCTCACATACCCACTAAAAGCTAGCACCGACTGATGAAGTTCAAGTTCACAGCAAGAGCTGGAGAAAAAACATGTGTTTTCTTCATCAAAACCCCCAATAAAGATCAATAAAGCAGAATGTTAAATAGAGAATTCGGATGAATTTGGGGGGTAAGCATATATCACCATGACAAAACCGGTAGCGTTGCGCGCAGCCATGACAAGGGCAATGTCACAGGAGCGCACGCGCTCGCGCACGCGCGAGCAGCTGCGAGGCTGGTCACCAAGGAAGGCCAAGGATGTTAGTAGCTCCACAGACTCCAGGCGGGGTTGGGGATGTATCTTTGGGGATGGGATAGAACGAACTACCTGGCCTGGTAAACATACAAAAAACTATGGAAAATCATCATAGAAATAGTGGATTTAACAATTAAAAATGGTGATTTTCCATCGTTTTTTGTATGTTTACCAGAGGGTAGTTCAAGGGGATTAGCCAACACAAGGGTTACCACCCTGTCAGGTCAAAGATAGGTGAAGCACTAATGGGATAGGAGGACATGGATTTCCATCGTTCTCCGGTCAGCAGTACAATAGAACAAACAAGACCGGGGTGATGGATATGTTTGCCACAAGACATACAAAGTCTAAATATAGAATAATATACATCAGGACCAAAACAGCTTGGTGTTTTCGATGTTTTGTGTACTTGACGAGCATAATCATGTAATATAATAATATACATACTGCTAGTATATTGAAATTGGCATGGTTTTACATGGATCATTTCTCCAAACTTGGGAGAATTCGTCCTGGATTGTCTCCTGATCTAATTTTTTTCGGATGCCCATATATTCTACATTTATTGTGTGGATCCTGTAGATACATATGATATACATCTACACATATCCAAAAAGGGAGAAAGAGAAGGAGAGAGAAAGAAAAAATCAATAAAAAGGATGGAGAGAGTAGAGAGAGACCCTAAATTATTTCTGCCCTTACTTCATGTAAATCCCATATTCATAAACCTTGACTATGTAATGTGGGGTTTTACCCCCTACAGGAGAAGTGCAACCAGTCGGAGTTCCTCCAAAGAAAGCAAGGAGGCCCCGCTGAATCGCACGTTTTTTTTGCCATGGGCAAACGTTAAATATATAGAAAACCCATAGTTTCTGTGGGGAAAATGAACCAAAAAAAGGCGGAAAGTTCCATATCTATTGTGATCTGGTTGGTGGTTTGGAACATGAAATTTTATTTTTCCCACATGTATGGAATAATGATCCCAACTGACTTTCATATTTTTCAGAGGGGTAGGTATACCACCAACCAGTGATTTTCTGAGGGATTTTTCAGGCCGTTTGATTCACAGGCGATCGCTACTGGGTTGGATGCTCTGCTCAAACATAGCAATCGAAAAATCCTCCACTTAGAGACGTTGTTTCCAGCCATCAAGCTCCATGTTTATAAGGGGATTACTTATGGATGATTTTCCCAGCTATAAACCTCCGTTTTTTGGGGAGATTCTTGAGGGAATTCCCAGCAGTTGGGTGAGGATGAGATTATCCACTACGACTGGGCAGCAGGACACGTACTGGAAGCAGAGTCGGGTGAGTAGGTGAGTGGATTGAGTGGCGGTGGGGAATTTGCACCCAAAATTATATGATATCATGTATATGTGTGTGTGTGTTTCTTAAATACAGTGTATATATAACTACATATATGATATATATATATAGATATATATATATATTCTATTATGTATGTATGCTATATACATCTACGAGGCTCAGTGTCATGTGTATATACTGTATATACCCACATTAGGTTCATCTCATTGCCGCTGCTTAACACCAACGACATCCAAGAACCATGTTGTCATGTCTTATATGAATGGGTGCATGGGCCTGTAACCCCAAAATGGATGGTTATTTTTATATGTAGATCTGGGGATTTTATAGTTTTGAAGCATTTATATATAGTTCGGAGAATTTTATATATAGTTCTGATAGCCAAAATATGTTTGACAGAACCCAACATCATAAAGAGGCCAAGGCACCCACTAATGTTATATATATATATATACATTATACATATATAGCATATATATATATATACTATATATACACATTATATATATATATACATTATACATATATAGCATATATATATATATGTACTATATATATATACACATTATAGATATATATATATACATTATACATATATATATATACATTATGGATGCTTTGAGGCAGCTGGAAACTGTTGCGAATCTTCGGCGTTTTTGCATCGGAAATTTTCCCACAGGTCACATGGGTTTTGTTTGCGGAGATATGGCAGGTGTGTGAAGCATTCTAGAATTTATTATTCTAAATACCATTCAAATTTCATTAAGTCACCATTCTAAATACCATTATAAATACCATTTAAATACCATTAAGTCACCATTTAAATATATTTAAATCCCATAAAGTCACCATATTTTCTGTTGGCAACATCCCATTAAGATCCCAATAGATCATCATCAAAGCCCTTTGAGTCACTGGTGTCCGGTTGTTGAAACGTCAGGACAAGTCTTGAATGCAAGGCCGCGCATTTTTCGGGGCATGGATTGCTGATTGCTGGGTGTAACGACAAAAAATACAGCAGATAGAACCAGTGGTATATATATATATATATGTTTGTGTGTCCTTTTCCCAAAAACTATACCATATACCATGTGGTAAATTGTTACATAACTATGGTAAATCACCACATTTAATGGGTAAAAAGTATCGAACTAAGCCATGGCTTTCTATGGGCCATGGCTTCAAAAAAGCGCAAGCGATGGCGCATCATCCCACGAACTTGAGGCGTTGTAGTTTGGCCAATGGCATCAAATGGCCAAATACAGAAGAAGTTCTCTCCGAAAATATATGAACATATGACTTAATCTGGTTGGTGGTTTGGAACATGGCTTTTATATGCTTTTATGACTTTTCATATATATATAATATATATATATACATATTATATATATATGGAGTAATACTCCCAACTGACTTTCACTCCATCATTTTTCAGAGGGGTAGGGCTCAACCCGCAGGTACCGCCTGGAATCCTTATCCGGGGATGGGACCTTTGGACGAGCGCCTTGGAATATGAAATCATGTCTATGTGTGTGTTTCTTAAATACAGTGTATAGAACTATACATATATGATATATATATATATATGATATATATATATATATATGGCTATGGGTACAAATACCTATGAAAATACCATTTTTAGTGGGATGAACATCCATAAATCCCAGCAATTTTTGGGTTAGGTACCAGGGTTTTGACCCATCCCCACATGAAGTTTGAAACCAGCAAGGTTTATCAGGACTGGACACCAAATATGGCCTGGACATTCCACCATTGATTTTTTCATTTCAATGCCGGGCCCCTCTGGTAAACCACTATTTGAGTCGGATTCTACGTGTCTATCTTCTGGGGGCGTTGCTATATATCAGTTATTCCCTGGATTCCGCATGATTCCGCATGTTTCATCAAAATCGACTAAATTTACAGACTTCCAGGTGGTGTTTCATAAGAATCATAAAAATCTACATGGATTCCACACATAAAATTTACTCAGAATCCAAAAGTGTGGTCAAATATCATTAAAAAAATCTACCATTTAGTAACATTATATGAAATATACATTATATATAAATATTATATGTAAATATATATATATATATGGTGGATTCATCTTTGTTTCATATTCTCCACCAAAGAATCCAAGCCACATTCACCACCCCCCAGCGTTTTTCGTTGTCGTTTCTCGCGGCAGAAAAGGTCTGTTTGGCCACTGATCTGGTGGACAGAAGGGAGGCCCCGAGATGTTGGAGAAATCCGTCGATTTATCCGTGGAAGATCGTGGATTTAACACACGAAAATTGTGGTAAAATGATGGTATAATGATGATTTATGGTGATTTTATGATGATTTATGATGATTTTATGATGATTTATGATGATTTATGATGATTTATGATGATTTTATGATGATTTATGATGATTTATGATGATTTATGATGATTTATGATGATTTATGATGATTTATGATGATTTATGATGATTTATGATGACATAATGGTGATTTATGGTGATTTTATGGGATATCATGCAAATATGAGAATGTAATGATTCCAGCTGCTGTCATGCTCTTGTTGATCCTGGGAAAGTGGCAACCGGACGTCATATGTTTGGGATGAGTTTTTCAATCAACAACCAGAGATGGATACGTGGCACGGGTACGTGGCACAGCCACTGAATTAAGAATCACTTGAGCAGTGTTCAAAACCCCTCTGGTTGGTGGTTTGGAACATGTTTTATTTTTCCGTATATTGGGAATTTCATCATCCCAACTGAAGAACTCATATTTTTCAGAGGGGTAGGGCTCAACCACCAACCACCCCTGGCAGGGTTGATGATTAGTGGGATTATACTAACCTTCATATATTGGGGATTCTTTCACAAGTCTTGAGGGTCTGATCAGTCACAGTGGGCATGTGATGCATGTTTCGTTGTTCGTAATGGAGCCGCAGACTCAGCTTCAAGCGGCGGACAACCCAAATCCAACGTATTTGATCCTGGATTCCTGGAAATAATTAGAACATATTGGAACATAACATTGGTTACCCGCTATTTTTCATTGGGATTCATCAGGGATACGTTAGCCCCAGATTCCTCCGTTTTTGTTTTTTACGATTATACGCGATTTTTCATTGGGATTCATCGAGGATACTTTAGTCCATATTCTTAAGGATAAGCACAGAATAGCAGTTGATTGATAAGTTGATAACTACTTATAATTATACTTATAATTGGATAATTAGTTATCTTCCCTAGCCTACCACTTATCTCAAGTATTTTCAGATTTCTACTCATCTAAACGAGTTTCGTTGTGTCACGGGTGCCACGGGTGGATACGGGGGGCTTCTGCGACTGCAGGTGGCCATCAAGATCATTCGCGACGTGCGAAGGCGGTTTCGGGAGCCCAAGAATTTCAGTAAAAAACATGGCTTGATGGTGAATGTACCCTCTGGTAATTTAACATAGCTATTGAAAATGGCCATTTATAGTGAGTTTTCCCATTAATCATGGTGATTTTCCATAGCTATGTTAAATTACCAGAGGGTATCTATAGTTCAAGCAGAAGGTTCTCAAGAATTTCTGCAAAAGATGGAATCACTATGCTCAGTATATCTATGTTTAGATAGGGTTATGAACCAAGGTACAATTGGGGGGTGCCCTAAAATATGCCTGAATGATGAAAGAGAAACCTTCTGAAGTCATAGAGTTGAGCCACAATGCCGACAGAAGGTTTAACCAGCTATGCAGTTCAAAACCTGAGTATTCGGGATGTAACCCAGCTTAGAGCTAAGAAAATGCCTCCGATGTTCGTATGTTCGTCACTACAAAATCTACGCCATGTCGTGGCAGTTGGTGTCAGTGATTTGCCACAGATACCAAGAGAATGCGAAGGTTGAAGCGAAGATCTTGGTGCCTCGTCGCGGGGTCAGGGCATTAGACAATCCTCTGGCACTGGTTGTCAGGCAGCCCCTGATTTTTTCCAGGTTTTGCCAAGTGGAAGTAGCTCTAATTTTGGGGGAGCCCTGTAGAATCTATAGAATTCGAGCATGGATGTTTCAACTCAAACCATTGTGCAGTGAGGTTTCATCAATTTGCCCAGATGACCTGATTTTCCAGTGAAACGAGCCTTATGAACTAAATCTGGCATCGACCTTGGCAGTGGGGAAACAGTTGGGGTTGAAGACGTCAGGTTCCCATCCCTGAAGGAGGGGCCTCTATTGAACTATTGTAATTTCTGAATCAAAGAAGTTCTGATGTGGGTATGGGTCAATACCTATAGATACATTTTTAGTGGGATGAACATCCATTTACCAGCTATTTTGGGGTTCACTAGGTACCAGGGTTTTGACCCATCCCCATGTCAGAAGCACGTTCAAATGCATAAAGGGATATATAATTGATTATAATTGACTTGGGGGTCCCTGACTTTAGAATAATTCCATCAACCCCAAGGTTTCGAACTGACCCATGTTCCCCAAATCCCAAGGTGTTTTTTTTTCGGGCTACGTAGCCGATGTAGCCCCCAGGAAATGTAGATAGGCATCACCCCTTGTGGACCATCCATACAGCAAACAGCAGCAATGTTTCATCAGTGTCGGTATATTGGAACATTGCCAAAAAAAAGGATATACCCCCTTCCTGCACAGACCGGATTATCATATTGTTGGTCATATCCCCATCATATCCCCATGTTTTATCCTATGATTCTGCCAATGATATCCACGTAATACATTAATATATAATGGTATTTCCCAAAAGTCCCATGTTACCTCCCATGAAAACATTCCATTAACCATAGATGTCCTTTTCCCACTGGTTGGTTGATTAGTACAGGGGTTAGTTTACCCCGTTAACGACAGGTTTCTATGATGATAGATGGTATACCAAAATATACCAAACCGGCCCCTCTATTTTTACCAAAAGGACATTATTGCCATTAACAATAACATTCCATGCTTGTTTGTTGTTTGGAACATGAATTCCATGACTCATATTTTTCAGAGGGGTTAAAACATGTTAAAACCACCAACCAGATTGACTATATCCCATTGTTATACCAGAAATGGTTGCGTGGTCCGCTGTGGATTTGAAGGCTGAAGTGGCCAGAGAGGATCATCGGGGGAAGTACCACTGCTGCTTGATGTTCGACACCTTCACGCATGACTCGAGGCGAGGACGTCGAAGGGGGATGGATTTCCGGTTGACTGGGCACTCGGATCCCCAAAACGGAGACTTTGTTGCTGGTTGATGTGGTTTATAATAATATATATGTATAATATAAATACAATATGTATATATATATATATCATATATATATATATATTATATTTATAATATATATATATAGATATATATATATATAATATATATATATACACATATTATATATATATATATATTGATTCCTGAATCTAGTAAACCACATAAGCCTACCGCTTGGAGGATGGATCTAATTAATCAGAGGGGTTGAAGTCACTGGACTGGGATCATACCATACAAAAAATCATTACGGGGCATTATATTTATACACAACAAAACATTGCTTTGCTTCCATTCCATTCCATAAAATTGCATTGCATTCCCCTTGCATTGCACTGCCTTCCATAGCATTGCATTACATTCCATTTCATTGTTTTACATTCCATTTCATTACATTACAGTGCATTTGTCGAAGGATATGTTATGATATTTTGATCCCTGTGATCATTTTCTCTACAAAATAATGAGGTGCTGACACCTCTCGAGCCAGTGCAGGGTCACCAGTTCAAACCCCAATTTTGTCTACAAAATACAGGATTGAGCGTCGTAAAAACAATAAAAATGCATTTTGAAAGACCCTAGTTTGCTAGGCAATGATTTTGTAGAGGCAATTTTTTGCATTTTCGTGTTTTGTTTTGATGGGGGCAGATTGGATGGACTTCTATTTTGTAGAGGTGGTGTTGGATGTTTGGCATGCTTGGTTTTGTATTTTGTAGAGGCCCCATTCATGATATTCATGTTCATTTTTTGTGCATGATTTGCGCCTTTCCTCGCCGAAATGTTTCATTCAGAATAAGGACAGCGAATTTCAAAGATGATATGGGATGATATGGGATGTTATGTGAAAGGTAAGAAAAACACACAAAAAATAGAGCCAACTTGAAAAGGATGGAATGATGGCATATGGGGGCACAAGTTCGCGTGCAGCAGAGATTTGTTCATATTTTATGATGTTTTATGATGTTTTATGTTCTGCGGTATTGTTTTTATGTGTTTTTATGATATGTAGATATTTCAATGGTTTTGCTGATATTTTGTTTTATATTGTTTATTTTATCTTTTGCTGTGTTGTTGTGTTCTTCCATGGTGAGGCCACTGTTATGCTTTATCCCACAGTGATCCCCGTAGTGATCCGAATGCAACGAGTCGGTGTTTTAAAAATTTTTAAGATATTTCAATCTGGAGTCTCTACAAAATACAGGACTGAACATGCCCCACAAAGTCTGTTTTGGGCACTTACGAGCCTTGGATGGGGCAATTTTTTCTACAATCAATTTTGTAGACAGCCCTTATTTGGTGGTTTTTAATGATCTTTGTTTTGTATTTTGTAGTGGGCAGCCATTTTGGGTTCCATGGACTTGCATTTTGTAGTGCATTTGGGGGCACTCTCCTGGATGGATTTGTATTCTGTAGACCCCTTTTCTCTACAAAATCACCTGTCAGCACCTTCACCCGAAATGAGCAAGGGGATATATTTTGTGTATCAGTTATACATACGTATATAAGTAATTGTGAATATACAATATACAGTATAATATATATATATACAAGATTATACAAGTATACAGGACATAGCAATCTATTAAATCTCGAGGCATTCTCCGTGGCCCTTTCCCTGAGAGCTGCCTGGCAGGTTTTTTTGCCTGGTCTTTGAGCCGTTGGGAAGTTCGCTGTATGACGTCATCAAGAAGAACCACTTCAGAGGGTTGCTGGGTGCGGTTTTTTTTTGCAGGACTCCCCAACAATATACTGGTTGACTGGTTGGTGGTGACTGGAACCATGGAATTTTATGACTTTCCATATATTGGGAATGTCATCATCCCAACTGACTCGTATTTTTCAGAGGGGTTGAAACCACCAACCAGATGATATTCCCGGATAGGATTGTTAGGTCATGTTAGGTCAAAACTATTTTCGGGGATTCCCCTATGACATACCATGATATGACTATTCCCTCATGATACTCTGATACACCATGTTTGACCATAGCACATCAGGGTTTGTCGCCAAACATCTCTTTCCAGCCTGCTGAAAGAGGTATGCAGTTGAAGCCGTAACCGGGAATCTACTAACCAGTTGGCATCATGCAATTTCTGATGTTGGATTTATGTAAGTAAGCACCAGGTGTTCCAGGTGTTGAAGGATAGACAAGGATCTATTCACGGCAAAAGCAGAATCGGCTTCAGAGTGACCAGTCCGAGCTTTCACTTCGAAGTCCCCAAGTGGTTTACGCAAGCAAATCTCCAATCACCATCCCCAAGTCCCCAAGTCATCACCATTTTTTGATTTTTGCTGGGATTTCAACATATTTCAATCATTATGGAAAATCCCCATTGTTCATGGGAAGATTCACTAAATTTCTATGGTGATTTTCTATAGTTCGTTATGTCAGTCATTACCAGAGGGTACCCATTCACAAGAGCTGATAGTCATCACCATTCTTATAATTATAGGTGGTATGTAGAAACCATTCCCAGGAAAATGGCTGGTAAACATGGCTGGCATTGTTTTACCCACATGACTTACCCAAAAATTTCAAGAGGTTTCAACAACGTTCAACCATCGTCATCTGGTTGGTGGTGACTGGAACCATGGAATTTTATGTTTTCCATATACCATCTGGTTATTTAACATAGCCATGGAAAATGGCCCATTTATAGGTGATTTTCCCATTAAAACCTCCATTTATAAGGGATTTTCCATGGCTATGTTAAATAACCAGATGGTATTGGGAATGTCATCATCCCAACTGACGAACTCACTCCATGATTTTTCAGAGGGTTTTTGTAGGTATACCACCAACTAGTTATGTTTAATATCTATATATAATCCCATCTTTTTTTACCATGTATAACCACTATTATTGCTATTATAACCACAATTTTATTATAATCTAGTATATAACCAATATTAACATTATATTGCTATGGATCAATACCTATGAATACCATTTTTAGAGGGTTATTCACATCCATAAATCCCAGCTATTTTGATGTGAACTACAGGGGTACAAGGTTTTGACCCACTGCCATATATATACATATCATGTATTTATGTATACATATATATATATACATATGTATATATATATATTAACATTATATAACCACAATTTTATATAACCAATATTAACATTCTATCATTAGGGCTAGGTCAAAATGGCCCCATTTTTCACAGAGGCTCTGGCTTTCAGATGTCCAGAGGGTGGCCAAGTCACTGGACTCTATCAGGGAGATGACGGAGATGTTACCCTCTGGTAATGACAAAAACCATAGGAAAACCATAGGAAAACCATAGAAATCCTAGGTAAACCATAGGAAAACCATAGGAAAGCCATAGGACAATGGAGGTTTACCCTCTGGTAAACTAACAGTTTGCTATTGAAAATGACCATAGACATAGTTGATTTTCCCATTAATAGCATGGTGATTTTCCATAGTTATGTGGCAGTTTACCAGAGGGTATCAATAATTGATGTTGATATCCATATTCATATTCATGGGATATCATCTATTTATGGGATATGATATTATATGAATATTGATGATATCATATGGATATTTTGATGATTCGACACTTATGGGACTAAACATCAAGTCGTAACAATTTTATCTGAATGTGTCTTGCGCACCAGTTCACTGAACACCCACTGGGTGACAACAGCGACAATGTTCGAAAAGCAAAGTATGGGATTAATTGTTCATCCGATCAGGGTAACCTTGGTTTTGCAAATAAGTGCGGTAGTTGTTTGTTACCCTCTGGTTATTTAACATAGCTTTAATGGCCCATTTACAGATGATTTTCCCAGCTATAAACCTGCATTTATAATGGATTTTCCAGTTAGCTATGTTAGTCATAAGCAGATGGTGTCAAGTCTTTTGCAGGGCACCCCACTTTATGACTAAGTTTTGTGGGGAATGATGGGGAATATGATGATTCAGCAGTTCAGAATTGGGATATATTCCACTTTCGGTCGAACTTGGTGCTATAATGTGCTATATCAACTATAGCTGTATACCAATACCTGTCAATACCTCATTCTGTGTTGCGTTTTTGCTCATTCTCATCTGCAGTTCAGAACTGAACCTCAGAGCCGTTGGTTGTTGCCCTTCAAGGTATATGCATTGAACTACGCATAGTTTCCAATGTTTTCCGTGTCCGTGTGTGATCCGTTAATTTGTTCCCTTTGTGTTCCGTTTATTTTCCATGGGTGTTCCATAGATTTTCCATGTATATATATATATATATACATAATTATTGTGAGTGGTATCACACTGGCAGCACCAAATCCCTCACTCCCAAGATAGCAGCTTTTCACCTGGTGATTGCCACAAAAGGTTGAGAGTCCTTCGAACCGGCTGCCTAGCAAGCAAGGCTTCCAAAGCCTATGATACCACGTTCAACAAGCTGGCCACAGCTTAAAGGATCGACCGCGATCGAATGGCTGCAAGTGCTTTGGATCCCTACCTCGCCCACCACGGCTTGTCCTCAAGCCTAAAACACTAAGGCACATGAAACATGGTTTGTTCCCCTCTCGGCTGGTTTGGATAGGGATTCCTGGTTGGAATATATTCAGCAAGGTTTTGATGAGAATTCATCACAAGTGAATGGAAACACACAACGACAGGGTTCGTTGGGAAATTCACACTCCCAAAAGATGTTTTTCTTCCTTATTTTCAAGATTCTCATCATTGCAGGTTTGCAACCATTTCATGCGGGATCGGCTCGTTGCACGTTCCTTCAAGACTTGCCCTTCATCGTGCAGGCTATATTGACCTACTTTCAAGGTGTGTCGGAGGAAATGGGTCTGCATGATTTTGGTCAAAGCATCTGCAAGTTGTGCGGCACTATGGACCCATCTTACCTTTACTCCCTCAGCTATCATGTCTTTGATTGCTCTTGCTTGTAACTGGGTTCTGAACTCTTGGCACTGTGGTGGAGCTGTTCGTGTGATTAAATCAAACAAGGATTTACAATCGGTTACCGCAATTGATGGATCTTCTTTGAATGTTGCAGTGGTGAATGTTGATGGTAATTCTTTGAGGGTCTTTGATGGATTTTTCCAATCAGTGCATGGGTTTCGTATCCAGCTCCAAAACAATCTCAACCACGACAGTTGGTCAAGGGTGGTTGAAAGGGAAGTGGTCTCTGCTGCCAGAGTGCTCGTCACTACTCGTTGAATTTTCTTGCATCCCCAGCTGATTGGGTTCACCGGGCATACATGATTCTTTCCGATGTCTTCGTGAGTTGTCATGATAATGGTACCTGTGTGTGATTCTGGCTGTTTCTTGGAAGCGAATGATGCATCTGAAAATGCCAAAAACCGGATTTTGTCCATAGGAATGGGTTGTATGCGAATGGAGGTGTCTTTGTGTCTTTTGGCTTCATGAAGTATCTGATTTCCTTGTATGAGTGTTGCAATCGTCGCTTGGTTGATGTCACTTTGGATGAAACTTAATCTGCTTGACAAGTCAGGTCTCGTGTTTACTGCGGCATACTGAAGTGATCCGATAAGTGCACGGAGATCTTGTCTCTCTCGTTCGGTGACGGGAATTTCAAGTTGTGATTTTCTTTCTGGTTTGATGTGAATTGGTTCAATTTTGGAAACATATTTCTCTTGTGACATGACAATGCTTGAGTCATTTTGTTGGCTCATTTCGATTCCTGTGAACACAAAGCTTTGGGATTTGCGGGATCCGAAAGGAAATTTTGCCTCAAGGGCTTTCACCTGAGACTGGAAATAACTGTCACCTCCGCAGAGACCATCATCTACATGAACCCCAAGGATACCCGATGGCTCTTTTGCTCCTGGTTTGAAGAGTAAATAAAGACAGGGATCAAATGGGGATGGTATGAAGTTCAAACTGCGTAAAGTGTTGTCGAGCTCTGTGAACCACAAAAATGGGGCATCTATTAAACCATATGCTGATTTAATGAGCTTACAGACCTCTGAGGACTTCAGGTCCATGGCTTTCACCATTTCTGGGACTGGCTCTATTGCTATTTCCCTTCCTTCTTGGGTGCGGCCTTGAAGAAACGCTGCTTTGATGTCAAACGACATGAGTGTCCATCTCATGGAGGCAATCACTTGGGCTATCAGCATCTTTGAGGTTCTCCCAAGTGTTGGGCTGTCTCTAGGAATTGTCTCCAGTTGTGGATCTAGGTATCCTAAAACCACCAGGCGAGCTTTTGCCTTGCGACTACGCCCCCCGTTTTCTTTTTGTTCTTTAGGACATTCTATGGGTTTCCACACATACAGCCATCGGCACCTAAGGATTTGTTCAGGTGATAAGGCATTCCGGAACATCCTTTCCACCGTCCCAGTCTGAAGCCAGTTGTTCACCTCTTTGGCCTTTGCGGCCTCGAATTCTTGGCGCTCATGAGGATCTAGAGTGCTCAATTTGACCTCAGTACGTTGTTTCTTGGAGGCTGTTGCCAACATGAGGAAATCTTCTTCGCATGGATTTTCCTGGAAAACGCACATCTCATCCAACTGAGCTTGGGTGAATTCGAGTTCTGCTTTCCAGACATGGTCTTTGCCGTCTGGCGCAAAGGTTTCGGAAGCATCGCTGTCAGTGCAAGTCAAGAGATCACACAAAAGTTCATCATCAGTGGCATCTGGAAGTGGTATTTCATGGGGTTCTAGTTGGGATTGATTTTCACCTTCAGGATTGTTTATTTGAGCGTTGCGTGGTTCACTGTTATTGGGACTATTCTCAACGGATATATTCTCATTTTTGATGGTGAGGTTACCCTGAGAGTTTTCATCAGGCTCTTGGTCAGGCTGTTCGGACGTTCCTGAGCTTGCTGGTCTAGCATTTTCTGGTGGCACCAACACTTCTGCGGCTGTTTGATTGGCTGTGCTTGCATTGGGAATTTGATTTGATGGATTACTGGGAACCTGGGCATGTGGTGGTACTGGTGAAGCTCTCAGCATTGACAAGGGATTTTCAGTTATGGGAATGAGTCTTGCTTCTACTGCACTGACTGGGCGTATGTGTTCTGGAGCGGCTCGCATCACGGATCCTGCATTGTTGCAAAACACTGACGTGAGACCGTCTTGGATTATCACCTTTGCAGGACCAACCCATGAACCTTTATTTAGGTGGGATTTCCATACCATGACCCATTCTCCAGGTTCATAGGCTCCTCTATGGGGACGATCTCGTCTTAGTGCTGCTCGACGGATCGCCATGTCATTGTCAGCTGCATGAAATGCCCTCCGTGCAGTCTCTCGCATTGCAAGCACTTTCCTAAACCTAATGCCCTGGCTGTCATCGTTGGTTGCGATGGCATGAGCTGGCAAAGTGTCGTCTCCAACAATGGAACCTGGAACTCTCAAACCACGGCCGAAAACAAGGGTCTCTGGTGAGTATCCATGTCTCAAGCTACATGCATTCTTTGCCATGGTACAATGTGTAAGTGCTTGTTGGAATTGGAAATAGTCAGTGACATCATGTTCCAACTCATATTTGCTTAACATTGATTGGAGAACGCCACCGTGTCGCTCAATACGACCCATCTGCCAGTGGGCATCTGGAGGGACCACGGTGCATTGCACATTCAGGCTTTGAAGGAACTCTTCAAACGCTTGCGACACAAATTCGGATGCTGAATCCATGATGACTGAGTTGGGAGGACCAGCCCAATTGAGCCATCCGGTGGTGAATCTTTCCTGGACTTCTGATCGATTTGGTGCCACTACTGCGGTGTGATAGTTGGTACCATGACAAATGAAATGGTAAAAATGGAAGTCTTGGCCCTGTTTGTTACTCCATTTTACCCCATCCATTGATATCTTATCACCAAAATTCAGTTCTTCCTTAAGTGTCGCAGGACGCTGGAGTTTCGGTTGCTGCTGCATTTGGCATATGGAACATTTGAGGTCTAACACTCCTCGCACCAAGTCCTCAGAGTAGCCCCTTTGTTGTAGTACTTTACTCAACTTGGTGGGATCTGGGTGACCCAAGTTTTTATGAAGTCGAATGGCAAGTTTCTTGTTTTCTGGTGACATGATCATGAACTTGGGACCATGGTCCTTGCTTTCGAAATCTATCTGACTCGGTTCCTTGGTGCTTTCGGGTGTTTCGACACTCTGTGGCTGCAGCTGACTATCAAGGGCTGGTGCGCTTGAAGGTTCACTGGCTGGCACATCCGGTGCTGGAGATTGGGCTGCACCACTGGGTTCCGATACTTCATGGCTACTTGGTCTTTGACTCTCGCTGGCAGGTGGTGAAATCTCGGGTGGATTTCGAGCGAACACTGTTATATTCAAAAAGGACGGATGTGACCGTCGCCACAGCTGTCTGGCTGACAAGTGACGCCATTCCTCCCATTGTCCTTCTACTTTGATTGCTTTGGTTTGTCTTTGAATGATGATTGCTCTGCGAAAAGGGGCTTCTGCTGGCATCATGTTCTTTGGGGGAGTGATGGTTCTCTCCGTCCCTTTGCAAATCACAACCCGGACTATTTGTTTATCATGGAAAACTTCTTGAAGTCCTGCAAGAATGGTGGGGTCACTGATCTCTTTCCTACCTACCCGAGGAGCTAGGCTGGATATCTTCTCGCAAAGTTGGATGCAAAGGGTACCTACATTGTCGGTGGTCTTCTCATGGAGGCGACGCTTCTTTGCCGGCATCTCACTGGGTTCAATCAGTGGACTGACAGGTGTCAGTTTCGCTCGCTTAGTCGCAGGTGCCAGGGATGCACTGGTGGCTCTTTTGGCATCGGTTGCAAAAGCTTCAGAGATTCCCATGGGCTTGCTACGCTGACATTTGACTTTTGTCAAAACCTGTGCAATCTTTCGGGCAAATTTTCGACTGTAGTTTTCAGAAAATTCAGTTCTCTTGATTCTCATTCCCCTTACAGTGGTCTCCCCTTCAAGTGGCTGATGTTGATGTTGCTTGTTGCACGTTAATCCATGGAAGTGAAAGAAAAATTCTCTTGAAGTGGTGTGAATTTCCATGCCCTTTCTATACAGCAGTTGATTCATGGGGTCTCGGAGGGTACCTACTCTACACATGTCGAATTTGGCAACCTGAGTATTTTGAATGATCTCCCACAACATTGGGGTGCGCATCATGATGGATCTGGCCGGTTGTTCCCAGTGCATGTGTCGACCTGCATTCTGCTGTACACGGAAAAGGACCAGTCCCAGGGCCAGTTGGAAGAGATTTTCTTCCCTCTTTCGTTGCACTTCGACAAAGCTTTCGGTGCTTCTCATCTCGTTGAACTGACTCCAGGAACTCCAGGGTCCACATGTTGGACTGTACCATATGTGATTAGGTCTCTGTTGAACAACAGTTTTGAACAAACCTGCTCTGCCCTCTTTTGTGGAAAGATCACCTTGTTCATATCCATACCTGCAGGCTCGATACCCCAACTGATTCGTTTGCTTGGTCAGTTCACTTGTTGAGCTGCAAAAGACCTCGAGCACCTGAATTGGCTTTGCTGATCGGCTGTCTACTTGTCTGGAGACTTCATGAAATTCTTTTGTCATTTGAGTTACAAGTTGATGGAAGATTTGATGACGATTATTGTTAGAGGTGGTGTTGAAAATTGACTCTTCAAAATCGTTATCAATGTCTCCTGCCAAGCATGCGCAATCCCTGCCATCTCTCAGTTGTTGGACGGTCGGACGTGCTGCAAGATCTCCACCAAGGCATTCTCCACGTGCATCATTCTGGCTTGCAGGGCTTCGATGCTCTCCTGGTGATGATCTTCTTGGAGTCCCCTCGCATTGTGGATCAGAAGGTCTTCTGGATCCATCACATCCCACTGTTCGGTCCCGATGTTGGAGCTGGTCTCCATGGACATGAAGGGAGCCACTGAGGCTGATGCCTTGGCTTTTGGTTGTCCCTTGCAGCGTGGCAGGACAACTCCCTGCGTCATGGATTCCATCGGTGGCAGGTGGTGCTCCTGTTCGTGAGCTGAGATCATCTTCTCGGAAAACATCAGGAACTTTCGATGTTCTATCTTCTGGCTGTCTGAGTAGGTCCTGATGAACCACTTGACCCAATTTGGCTCCTCCAACCACATTTCCATATAGGTTCGCCCCATGTGGGCTTTTCCAAACGTGATCTTGGCTTCTCCCATCTCCTGAGTTGTCAGCTGTTGAAACTGTTCCAGGGTGTCGTCGGACGCCTTGGCCATGATTCGATCGAAACGGCTGCTCAAACTCATTGCGACTTGATGAGTTGGTCGATTTCACAAGATCTAAAAAGGTCGGATGTGGGCTTTTGGGCCAGGAGGTCTCTGTGCATTCATGTTTCAGCTGACGGCTGGACTCACGGTGGCTCTGAAAAATCTCTTTCTGTTGGTTTGATTGTTCAGGTGCTTTGCAAAACTTCTGGGCACGATTGCATGTGTGGTGTGAATCGTTCTCATGTGATTGAAGCTCTGATTTCATGTCATGGCATGTGGCAAGGCTACGGTTGCTTTCACTGGAATTGGCAGTTGTTTGGTGAGTTTGGTGGCTCTCCTCACTTTTGCACTCGGAAAAATCATGGCTGGTGAACGTTTCTGCAACGGTCAGGCTTGTCCTGTCACTGGGCCCCTTCTGTGCTTTCAGCAGCTCATTCACATCCAACAAATACAAACCACGAGCACTCAGTTGCAAATGAACATCATGTTTGAACATGGGGCTGGACAGTACCTGACACTCGCTGTTGATGCTGGCCTTGAGGGTTCTCAACAAAGTATTTGACAACAACAATGGTGTTTCCCCAGGCACTACGGCTATTTTTAATCCCAATCCAATTGATTTGAGGGGAATTACCAACGCTTGACTGCTGTCTAAAGTTCCCTGATTGCCAAACCTGAAAGTGATGTCACACGATGTCCTGGACAGTTGACTTCGAACTTCCTTGGGCAGACCCTCAAGAAACGATGGCAACAGCTTGCTGCCAATCAAAGACTTCGTAGCACCTGTGTCTAAGATGCCTGACGTTCCATGTGACGCAAAAAGTGCAAAATCAGGCTCACGGATCTTCGGCTGATCACTGGCTCTCATCGGCAAATGGCAGGAGGCTTCATTCCTGGGAGGATGGCTTTTCAGGTTCTTACCCCTATTGTTATCCCAAGACCCCTTGTGCTTGAGACGTTCCCGAAGCTCATTTGGAATGGCCATGCTGACATTAATTAAATGCAAACTAGGATCATCTATGGTAACGTCTGGAACCACGGGCAATTGGATGAACTCCATCGGCAAAGCATCGGGCTCACCCTCGAGGGAAACTGCTTCGGCTGTCATGGTGACTGCCGTGCTGGCTGCACTACTGGCTGAGGCATTTCGGCGTTCTGGGCACTCTGCGCGCCAATGACCTCTCTTTCCACAGTGCCTGCATGTACTCTCCATGATTCTTTGCTGCAAACTTTTCCGGGGACCACGGCCGTAACTCTTCCCTTTGCCTTTGGATCCATGAGTTTTGGACTTACCCTTCCCAGAGCTCACAGGCCAAAACCCACGGTTCTTGAAACGATCGGACAAGCGCTTGCGCGCGTCACTGTACGCATTGTATGCGCTGGCCAGATCTTCGTCTGACTGCAGTGTGTCTGCAGCTGCTGACTCATAGTCTGCAATCAGCAGAGCGTCCTCGTCTTCGTCCAAAAGCAACTGTTCATAGTACTCTTCTTCCCCGATTTCATCCGCAACATACACATGAGATTCATGACCCTCATCTTGTACATCTTCAGTCAAAAACGTTTGTTGATCGTAGATCTTCCCTTTTGATTTCTTTTGACCGATCATCTCATTGAAAAAGGCTGTTCCAAGCATCCTGACAGACTGGCCAACTTTGTCAATTGTCAAAGCTCCCTGAGTGGAAGATTCACTTTCCAGGATCACACGTTTCTTGTCCTCCGTTGTCAAAAGAGATCCTCGAAGCACTATGTACGCATGCACCTGATCCAAATCTATTTTCTTGGCCTTGAGTTCAGACCAAACCACATCACACCTAGCCAGGAAAGAATCGTTCGATTCGTCCTGTCTCTGGACGCACTTGAACAACGCCTTCTCCACGATCTCATATGTTTTTTCCAGACTTACTTTGCCCCATTGTCCTCCAAGCAATGATATCAACAGTTCAATCCCTGCCTTGTCACCTGTGATTAACTTGGCACGATTCAATTGAAGTTTCTGGAAAGCAGAGCCGGTTGTATTGAGAATTAACCTGGTGATTAATTCATTGACCTTGTTCTCGGGCCAGATCTCGCTCAACAATTCGACTTTCTGCTTGTACTGTTCCAGGTCGTCCTTCGACGGATCAAAGCTTGGCACAAGTTGGGCCATCTGGTTGGAGATGGTTGCAGTTCCCTCTGATGGGTCACCATTTGGTTGCGCCATGGTGACCTCCAAAGATGATGTATCCCCTGGAGCAACAAAACGTAGGTAGCTCCGCTACCAGTGTGAGTGGTATCACACTGGCAGCACCAAATCCCTCACTCCCAAGATAGCAGCTTTTCACCTGGTGATTGCCACAAAAGGTTGAGAGTCCTTCGAACCGGCTGCCTAGCAAGCAAGGCTTCCAAAGCCTATGATACCACGTTCAACAAGCTGGCCACAGCTTAAAGGATCGACCGCGATCGAATGGCTGCAAGTGCTTTGGATCCCTACCTCGCCCACCACGGCTTGTCCTCAAGCCTAAAACACTAAGGCACATGAAACATGGTTTGTTCCCCTCTCGGCTGGTTTGGATAGGGATTCCTGGTTGGAATATATTCAGCAAGGTTTTGATGAGAATTCATCACAAGTGAATGGAAACACACAACGACAGGGTTCGTTGGGAAATTCACAAATTATGTGTATATATATAATTATATATGATATATATATATATGTATATATATATATATATTGTCCTAAGTTATCCGGCTCCAAACTCTTTGGAAACTAAGGCAATCGCTAAAGGCGCTGAAGTTTCTGCATGGTCGTCTTCAGCTCACTCACACGGACCTCTGGCGGTGTGGGTTTTGGGCTGTGCCCATGGGATTTCCACAATATCGAACCGTTCGAACATGTTCGAACCATTATCATTCACAATCTGGTTTGGTCACTTTGGTCTCATCATGAAATTGATGGTGTTTCTTTGGTGATGCTTTTGACGCTGAAGATTCTTGCATTGACGTAAATGACAATTTTTAGGATCATGAATATGATAAAATATGAGAATATGATCGCGTGGAATCCGCCCCGTGATTTATGAGTTACACACTTAGAACTCACAACCATCATCCATGTTTGCAAGGTGGTGGCCCCGTTCGTTTGCTAGGTTGGTAAACATCAGTCGATTAAGGGATGTGTTTCTTATTGTGGTGATGAAATAGCATGAAGTAGCTGTAGTTTGCGCGTTATATTTTAAAAAAAAAAACTTATAGCATCTTATAGCCAGTAACCCTCTGATATTCAAACATAGCAATAGAAATTGTCCTATAAATGGAGAATAATGGAGGCTTTCATGAGAAAATCCTCTATGAATGGTGGATTTTCCATTGCCATGCGTGCTTCGGGGTAGCCTCAGCCACGAATCATGGCTCGCTTTTTGTTGGCCCAAGATGTGCAGATCCATTTCAGCCAAGTGTTCGCAGGGGCGAAATGTGCTTGGTGTACTCAGCGGTGTCAGGTGAGATTCTTGCTATTGTGGATGACTATGAAGGCAAAACTGCCAAGGAAATGAAGCAATTCTTGGGAGCTCAGATTGGTGTGACCAGATTTCGCCAAAGGTTCTTGTCCTCAGATGGCTCGCGAGAAATTGAAGATGATGAGGTTTTCACCTCACAACCAGAGGTCCGGTTGCTTCTGCTGGAATTTTGTCCACCTGAATTTGAGGAGGACCAAAGGATGATATTTGCTACCAGGGACAATGATTCCCTGGTGCTTCAAGAGTTGCTTCACCGGCCTCGAAATCCCAACATCAGCCATGTAGATGGCTTAACGCCTTTGCACTATGCGGCTGCAAATGGACACATTAAACCTACGCTGCTATTGCTAGAAGCAGGTGCCAGAAAAAATGCCAGGGATGCAACAGCTCAAGGGACCACACCATTAATTTGTGCGACTGGCAATGGCCACTTAGAAGTTGTTCGCTTGCTTGTTGAGGCTGGTGTTGATACAGATAAAGCCAGAACTGATAGTGGAGCAACTCCTCTGTACATTGCAGCTCAGAATGGCCACTTGGAAGTTGTTCGCTTGCTCGTTGAGGCTGGTGTTGATACAGACAAAGCCAGAACTGATAGTGGAGCAACTCCTCTGTACATTGCAGCTCAGAATGGCCACTTGGAAGTTGTTCGCTTGCTAGTTGAGGCTGGTGTTGATACAGACACAGCCAGAACTGATATTGAAGCAACTCCTCTGTACATTGCAGCTCAGAATGGCCACTTGGAAGTTGTTCGCTTGCTCGTTGAGGCTGGTGCTGACAGAAACCAGGCTAGAAGCACTGACGGCGCAACACCCTTGTTCATTGCAGCTCAGAGTGGCCACTTGGAAGTTGTTCGCTTGCTCGTTGAGGCTGGTGCTGACAGAAACCAGGCAATAAGCACTGACGGCGCAACACCCTTGTTCATTGCAGCTCTGAGTGGCCACTTGGAAGTTGTTCGCTTGCTTGTTGAAGCTGGTGCTGACAGGAACAAGTCCAGAAGCACTGATGGCGCATCACCATTATACATTGCAGCTCAGAATGGTTGTTCGGATATTTATGATTTGCTCGTTGAGGCTGTGCTTCTGAAGTTGCTGAGGTGTTTTCACTGAGGATAGGCGACAAATCCGTGAACTGCACTGTGCTCTCGTGGGCTGGACCATCTAGACCTGAAAGATCATTTTTTAGTAATCCATTTGATGGATAGCAAATGCAGTATGCGTTGTTTTAATGGCAATGGTAATAGTTTTTTTCCTCGGGGTTGACCGACCTTCTTCGGGGGTGGTTCCATAGTGTTGGCCCAATCATGATGGTCCTTCGGAAGTCCCTTGAATTTTCCTTCCAGTCAGACTTAGCAGAATTAGATATACCCTCTGGTAATGACTAACATAGCTATTAAACATATCCCATTTATAGTTGATTTACCATGATTTACCTATTAAACATAGTGATTTTCCAGTTCGCTATGTTAGTTTACCAGACGGTAATTAGCATACATTGCATAAATCAATGCAAAACTCACCATGTCCAGATCAATTTAGATTCATTGCCTTGGAAACCGATGAATTCCTACTGGACATGGCGCAAGTGTATGCAACAGTAGTAACTGCTTTTTGTTTTCATGTTAAATTGACGGGGTGTATAACAATATATCATTGGGAAGCTGGTGATTGAACCCCGGAAATCCCGATGTTGATCGATTTTGTATAGTCAGTGTTATTCATTTCCAGATCGTTTGCCCATATTTTCCACAATTTCATCCCCCGTTCATAGAACAAACACCCCCCAGAAGGCATGTAGATATATGATATGAAACTACATATTTACATATTTTCTGGTTGGTGGTTTGGAACCTGAATTTTATTTTTCCATACATTGGGACTAGTACAGTAATCCCGACTGACTTTCACTCCATCATTTTTCAGAGGGGTAGGTCAACCACCAACCAGATTATTATTAACCATATAATAACCATATAATAACCATATAATAGCTATCATTAACCATATAATACGACCGGGTGTTTTTCATAGGGCAATGGGATGGTCCAAAAAGATGCGGCAGGACCTGAAGGCAGAGAACATTTTGTTCGTCGAGCGCGGGGCAGGTATTGTGAGCTACTTTCCGCGCGAGGAGAGCGCGTTTCGATGGCGAGAGATGTGGTGATTTTTACCAGTAGATTTGGGGCTACCATAGATTTTCCTGTCTATTTCTATCGTTTTAAGTGTGGATTGCATGTCACCTATTTATTAGGGGAACATGTCTTGTAGTTTTACACTGATATGGCGTTGTCTGAAAATATGGCACGCCCAATTAAATCCATCATGATTTTTCTTGTCATTCATAGCAATGTCTTGGGATGTATAGTCCATTTTCAGACAAACCCAAATTTGATCTTATGTTGGTGACGTATCCCGTGATCACAATTACTATTCCCTTGAATTCCCTTGATATATATATATATATCAATATATATATATATACATCAATGTATATGTATATATAAATCTATATATATATCAATATATATATATTGATATCATTTGTTTTATATCATGAATACCAACAAATATTATAACATTATATAATATTATATAATATCAGGAAATATACCAATATACCCATTAAAACCAACCATTAATAGTGATATTATCATATTTAATGGTTGATTTTTATACCCCATATTTGGACAAGTTGCGTTTTTTTTACTGACTCTTCCCCAAGTTTGGCTTAAGAACATGGAGCTATAGCTGCGCCACCAACAAAGCAAACCACTTAAGCCCATGATGGGCAAATGGTTACGTTCTGGCTAGTTTGTGGGAACACATTGGGAAAGTCAGGGAAAATAATGGGCTATCTATGTAACCGATAATCTATTTAAAAAATTGTGTTCGTATTCGGCTTTTTGTATCTTCTCCCGACTCCAAGGCGCTACTTGGTGACGCTTCACCAGGGGATGCTTCACCACATCCCCATATCAGACATGGATGGGCCCCCCCAGTTACAAGTTGGTTTATAAACCATAACCCCCATTGACTATAGTTATATCTACCAATATCTACCATAAACCATAGAATTCAGCCACCTATAAGGCAACTGAACGCTATCTTGGCGGCCCCATCCTGTGAATGTGTTTCTTTTCTTTCAGAGAACCAGGTCCAACACGTCCACAGCTCGAACTGTGAAGGACTTCTGGGAAGCTTCCACGGGGAACAACGCGCGAGGTCATCCCTACTATAGGCGGCGAAGGGCGATGCAAAGGCAACCGTGTGACATTTTCTTGTGACTATGTATGATTGATGATGTGTGCGTTATTCTTGGACCTTGGACCTTTTTTCTAAATATGAACGTATGCAAAAAAAGCGTTTGCAAGTAGACACTAGGATTTTACCATGGGTTTCAGAAGCAATTTCAGATGGAATCCGATCCTCCTGTTAAAAACACCCCCAAGAAACTTTGTAAAAATAGGGGAAATCCCAGAAGTTAATAGGGTGCTTTGACCACGGACAGAAGCGCGGAAAGTTTTAGGGGCCCAAAAAGATGCCGATCATAATCCATCAATATCCATCATGGGATTTACTGGATTTATTCTTATAGAATGGAAACTGGATTTACTACTGTTATTAATACATATTAATACTATGATCATGGTTATACAACCCATCATAAATCCCAGGCTGGGGCCAGCCTGGGTTAGAGTGCCAGGGTTTTTGATGCTGGGATGTGAATGGAATATTTCCTGGGACTACAATGGAACATCCTCAGATCCTTAAAGGTGTGATGTTTTTTGGTAGTTCGATGTTCCAATTTTTCCCCATCAGTTCCAGCTTTCGAACTTTTCGATGCTTGGTATGGATCCAGGCCTACCAGGGCCGACATTAAGCTGATTGACTTCGGGCCGCTCGGATCATGGAGTGATCTACGCTCTGAAAATCGGGGGGGTCCTAAGTCATGGGGGTACCCCCAGTTATCCAAGTCATTGGACCACTGAGAATTGACACTTTTTGTGACTTGGGGTAGCTATTGCATCATCTATAAATGGGCCAACAATTTTAGGAAACCTCCAATTTTTTAGGAAACCTCCAATTTTTAGGAAACCTCCAATTTTTCACATAGCTTTTGAACACCACCATGATTCACAGCTATTACATCATCTATAAATGGGCCATGTTCATCCATCAATGTGTGACATATTGTAGGCTGATGCTTTCAGCCATATCATCTATGTCGAACATGTTCCAACCATATTTGGGATCTGGGAAGGTCCTACTTGTTGAAGATGTTTCAAGGGGGTGGCTCACCCACCAACCATTTAAGTTGCTATGACTCATGCTATTTCCTATCCCTATTTGGATGATGATCTTACTCTGTTTTGTGAAGGGTTGAAACCAATAGATCATGTCGAAAAAAGTTGTAATAGCTGAGGGATTAAAGCATGACCTATCTTTATCGTCCTTTATCCAGTCATGAATGTTGATGAATAGGCATTCCATGATTCTTCCATCAGGGTGTATGTGATTGAAGTATGTATGTTGAAACATCAAGTCTATTTTTCTCATTTATATAATTGCACTTTACGGATCCACAGCTATATATTTTGATTTGGCATATGTTTAACTCACAAGTAGAAATTCCTGCAAGACTTGAAAGCCACCCTGCATCCTGCATGAACCACTCACCAGCGTGTTGAGGAATGCCACTTTCGCGAATGAGCACCATAGTTCCATCATCAACACCAGACAGTTTCTTGGTTTGATCAGGGACTGAGATACTGTGGGGTTGCTGTGGTGATGCCTGCAAAATCCCTGTTGCCAGCGGTGGCGACTTCTAGATAAAACCAGAGTTGATTGAATATGAATCCAACATGTAGCAGAATTTTGTGCAGTGGTACATAGTGCTAAACTGCACATCATCAAAATGCAAATCTCATCACAAGGTGAAAATAATCACATCTACCCTTTGTAGACATATTGCCAGGAAGTTATATTGCTGATACCAACTGATACTAGTCATTCACAAAAAGGTGGACACGTCATAGGGCTTAGAAAACTGGGTCAATGCTGGATGATCTTCACTGATTTTCACTGATCTGCATCTCAGATTGGACACGATATTTCATCATTTCCAGCAAGAATAGAGACTAAATCCGATTCTCAGTGAATGAAACACATGCAAAGTGCGAGAATTAACTCACTAATACATCATTAATCCATATTAATCCATTATAAATCCACATTGATCCATCCATATTAATCCATTATTAATCCATTAATAGTCCATATGAATTAATCCATTATTATTCCACATTAACCCATACTAGTCCCTATTTATCCACATTAGTCCATATGAATCATTAACCATCTCATACGTTTACTACAATGTAGCGTGATATCTGAGGTACCGAGGACCTGAGGTCGTTATGGAACTGGGCTGGGATCACAAATCTGATGCTTGGCGCTTGGAAAAATGAATGCAGGATATATGATTTGCATTTCATAGGATTTGAATGGATTTGATATATGATTATATAAATTATATATGATTGATATGGATATATATGAGATATATATATAATTTGATATGTATATATTATATATGATATATGGATATATATGGTTCATATGATATGTATTATATATGATTGATATGGATATATATGTATATACATATGATTTGTATGTGTCATTCAAAATCAGATTCATGAGAATAGGCTCATGATAAATCCGCAATTAATATGGAAATGGATATGAACAACAGCAGATTAATTTCATTCATGGATATGTTCCATTCACTACTATCTTACTAGAACGATCCTATGTTCGGAAAGGATAATGCATAAGATACATGAATACATGCCGTATAGTGAAAATCTAACGAGGATATCATTTCTGAAACGTGCCAATTGTGGCTTTGGACAAAAAAACGGGAATTTCCCCATTCAAATCCACTGGTGATTCTGGGGTGCCATTGATCTGTGAGACTAGGGACGTTGGAAAGAAATGAGATGATTTTACAATATATGGTTCGTGGATGTTCGTGGTTTGGAACATTTTATATTTTTCCATATATTGGGAACAATAATCCCATTTGACTTTTATATTTTTCAGAGGGGTAGGTCAACCACCAACGAGATATCACTGCATGTTTTTTCTGGTTTTCACTACACATGTTGGATGTTCATCTCTGTCCATTTGGAGTTAGTGGAAGTGTTCTTCATCTTTTTCAACTATGGGACGTAAGATATCTCAGCTATCTCCTCCCTGGTGACTCAAAGTAAAGCAGAGATAGCAACACAATATGTTTCCAGGACCTTGTACACTAAAAGTTCCTCCTCAACGCATTCCATCGGGTTGTCGACGGGTTTTTCAGCGATCTGGGGGATCAATCCGAACGGAGTCCCGGCCCGCTGTAGGACATTTGGAGCATCGGCTGCATCCTCATGGAACTGTACACAGGCCCGGGGCGTAGCGTAGCCGTTGTGGGCGGCGAGCTTCTTTCCGACTGACATATCTTCCAGAGGTGTTTTTTTTTTGATACCTTTTATATCCTTTTATGTCAAGCCACTTACTGTAGTTAAAATGTCATCAGCCTGTCAAAAAAAATGAATATATGTATGTACATATATACAATATGCAATAGTACGATATAGTACGTATATACATATATTATTATTATACATAATGTATTATCATAATCTGTTGAATATAAGAAATACATCACTTTTTTCACTCTCTGTTCTACGCTCGCACTTAGCGGCACCTGCGGGAAGCCGGGTCCTCGTGCCAGGAGAATTGTTGTTCGGCACACATGACAATTTGGAGCACCTGGCACTGATGGTCACTTGGACTATCAGCATCATCCCAGTAGAGAGGAAGGTCCAGAAAGGTCCAGAAAGGTCCAAAATCTCAGGGCGGGGACCTCGCCGAATCAAGGTGTATCCGGGCTTGACATTAAGTAGGGGCAACTACTTCAGGTCATGACATAATTTACCAACCCTAAATCCACCGGTCAGACAGCATGCTTTCTATAGTATTTCCATGGCCATGTCATCGCTATACCCCATTTTCGGACACCCCATCTACCCTCTGGTAAACTAACATAACTATGGAAAATCACCATTTTTAATGGGAAAATTCTCTATAAATGGTGATTTTCCATTGTTATGTTAAATTACCAGAGGGTATCATATCAAGTCGGTTGGTTGTATTCTCAGTATATCCCCTGAATTTTGTCCCACTAGAAATCCCAGTGGTAATTTATCCCAGTGGCAGCATAGTTTATCCAGCATATTGTTGGTCCTTTTCAGATCCAAATATCTGTTGGTTACCCTCTGGTTATTTAACATAAACATAGCCATGGAAAATGGCCCATTTATAGATGGTTTACCTATAAAAAATGGTGATTTTCCATGGCGAACTGTTAAATAACCAGATGGTATATAGGACCCATCAATATCCCATATTAAATCCCATGAGTTATACCCATAAATTGGTCGGTTTATGTTGGTTTTATATCCCACATTGTTGTTGTTTAATTCACATATTGTTCTACAGAGTTTGAACATGTTTTGGGTTATTGAAACAAATAGAAATTATTTCCACGATGTTAGAGATGATATGTTACTCGTTCCAGATGTTCAATTGTTCTATCTGTCTGGAGGGTTGCCTGTGAAACAGCATATTCTAACGTTTTATGGGATTGTTTCTATCATATTACCCAGTTTGAATCAGTGTAATATTAGAATTCCAAAATATCCTGATCGATTCTATCATAAAACCTAGTTAGAATATCCCATATGGATTAACAATATGGAGGGTTGCCTGTAAACCTAGTTTTTGGGATTCGAATATTTTCGCATGAATTATTTATGAAAAATCAAATGAAAATCATCTGAAGCCAGCAAATTTGTTCCACAGCTGATGAAATTCGTGAATTTTCGCCCAGGAGAAGATCCTGCGCGCCAGACTGCCCCAAGACATGTCCCTGGGATGCGTCACAGAGGATAGGGATGTCATCGGGGCTTATGCCCAAAGATTCCCTATATCAATTGGGGATGCAAAAATCACCTGTTATAGTATACTATATTAGGATATATTAGGATCCATGTTGGTGAATTATAGTTTCTCAAGATGGTGTGATGCTGAGGGCGCACCTGGAAGGAATGGGGATATGTTTGACCTATTCATTCTATTTCAATCTGCGATGAGAGCAAACTCCCCCTCTTGATTCTAAGGGAGTGTCATTTGCCATGAAATTTACCTGTAGAGTGGGCCTTTGCTCTCTTGCATGTAGAAACAAGGCGATATAAGATGTGGAAAAATGTCTCCAAACCTTTGGAGGTATGAAAAAGTGTTCCTTCTATTGTATACCACCCCTTGTTCATCTTGTTTGTTCCGGGAAATTTTAAAAAAAAACTTGTGATGTTTTTGAACGCAGGTGTCAGTACGTGCATCTATACAGAAACGAAACAAACAATGTGCATCTACACGTACCCTCTGGTAAACATACAAAAAGCTCTGGAAAATCACCATTTTTCATAGGTAAATCCACTATTTCTATGGCCATCTATACCATGGCTATGTTAGTCATTACCAGGCCGGGTACCGTAACACCATTTAGTTCGATGAGTTTCCAGGGTTTCCCCAGCCATGGATGACTATCATTTTTGGCTGGTTAAATCGCCATATACATAATCAATAAAAACATAATAGATATCTATTGTATACATTATATACAAAATGTATACATAATACATACAATAAATTTGACATCATGTTTATATATTTACCTGTTATACATGATATGTACAATAATATTTACACTAGTATATACAATAATATTTACATAATATGTATGTATATATATATGATATATACAATAATATACATAATATATACAATAATATTTACATAATATATGCATAATATATACACAATATATTAACACTATATTCATAATATATACACAATATATATACATAATATTGTATATATATATGTTATGTATACATATTATGTATAGATATAGACGCAGAATAAATATATATATATATACATGCATAATATATATATATATATATTTACATGTAGACACATCATACATACATTTATATATATAAACATATTTATTTACATATACATAATATTCTTATTTATACATAATATATACACATATATTTACATAATATACATATATACATAATACATATATGTATATATATATATACATTATATATATATATATATATTGTGTGTATATATATTATATGTATATTATATATATATATATACATATTCGTCGCATAGCTATACATATGCAAATGGTGCCATTTGAGTTGGTAGTTTCATAGGGAAACTATCTACAAATGCCCAATTTTACATAGCTATGTTACATTACTGAGTAAGAAACCGTCAATTTGGGGATGGTTTATAGCAATTACATCCCACTAATAGACTATGTCCCATTACATTCCCATTATATCAACACAAAATCCGTGGGTTTTACCATTATGTCACCAATCATGGTTGTTTATAATAAGGGTTTTCCAGATTATACCATTAGATTATATATGTATATATATATCCCTCCAGTCGCTTAGCTATTGTACCATTATTCCATGAATTATATCCCATTAATAAGTCAGTGCATAGTTATATATCCCATTACATTCCAATTACATGATTACAAAATGGATGGATCTTATCAGAATCCCATTAAACAATGGTAAGGAACTTTTTTTGTGGTCCTTTATACCATTATATCCCACGTGTATATATAGCCTCGTCCAGGCTTCTGGAACTGCGTAAACCTGAATTAGGTTGGTAAAACTTGTCCATTCCGTGACGAAATTTCGTCGCGGAATTAACAAGTTTCATTTGGGTCATTCATCATCATCATCATCATCACATCATCATCACATCAGCATCAGCATCAGCATCATCATCACCATCATCATCATCATCATCACCAGAAACATGTGAGACCAGTTTATATAGCATCAACTGCTGCCGCAAGTTCACATGAACGTTAACATCCCACCCCACCCCACCCCCCAATCGCATTCAGGTTTACGCAGTTCCAGAAGCCTGGACAAGCCTATATATATACATATGTGTGTATATATATATACATACCAATATATCTCATATATATCCCATTAAGTATATCCCAAATCATATTCACATATTGTTCCCAAGCCCAAGATTGATTCTACCACCATTACATCCCCATATCCCATGAAACGAAGTACGACTCGCAGCCCCTGAGGTTGCTACGGACGACGTCAGAGGTGCGACGCAACTATTTGATGCTCGGTCAGGATGGTGGAAACCAACTGGATTTGACCAAGAAAATCGGTGGTTTTTTCAAACAATTATTAACCATGGAAAATGAGGGTTGACCGGTTAACCAAGTGGTTTTTCGGAAGTTTCATACACTTTTTGGGGATCTTCACCAATCATGTTTATCCGCCAAGATGGTGGTATGAACCACCAATAATCAACACGGACATAGTCAAAAGAAGGCGGATATGTGGGTAAGGCAACTGATGAAGGGCTGCTAAGATTTCAATTCCTTGCCACAAATGGGGATACATACAGTACTAATCAGCGCTACGAAAAAAAGGAATACAGGGTAGCACCAGAGCTTTCCCAAGTTCACACAGGACAGGAAAAACAGTAAACTGAACAGTGGCCAAAAATGTGGATGATGGGTATGCTAGATGGCTAGATGATACATGATGATACTGTGGGTGCTACTGTATCCCATGTTTGCAAGTAATGCCAAGTCGGTCATGGTCTCCCCTTCCCTTTTGCTTCAGGCGGACATGGAACATGTTGGATCTCCAATTTCCTGTTGCACTATTGGATTCTAGTGATGTCGATATGACCATCATTTCTGGAATTTCTTTATCAATATGTTGGATCCATATTTTGGAATATGTAATCCTATGATCACCCAACTTGCAAAGTGATTGCCAGCGCAATCAGCCATATCACTCAGATGGCACATAATTTGCCACGTGAATATCACTCAGCCACTTCCAACCAGCGCAACATTTTTCATGGCACGTTCTGCAAGATCCAGGTAGGTATGAATCAAAATATAGGTGTTCGATTGCAAATGATAGTGTTCATTTCAGTTATTTCATGTTATTTCTATATATTTCTATGGCACTATAAGCCATTGGGAACCCCTAGTGCACCAAGTAGGATAGCATATTTGGATGGACATCCGATCCTGTTGAAGAGTCCTAAGGAGATGGAAGAATCCGCACCATGGAGGGGAACTGGAATTGAACTGGCCCGGAGGAGCTGTTTGTTTGTTTTCTCGGATCTCGGATGATTTTTCTCATAAATCCATAGGCCATTAGGATGATCATGGATGATCCCTATGGCCTATGATTATCTGGTGGTGACTGGAACATTGGTTTAGTATGGGATAATGATGGTTAATAATGGTTAATAATCACTGCTTGGTGGTGACTGGAACCATAGAATTTCATGACTTTCCATTCAGTTGGGAATGGAATTTCATCATCCAACTAACGAATAATTATATATTTTCAGAGGGGTAAGTATATCACCAACCAGATTATAGATTATGATCAATCTCTGATCATGATTCAATGACTATCCTCAGTGTTCATGAATAGATCCCTATTATCCCCATTAATCATATCTGCATTATATGGTCCAGTTGGAGATATAATGGTGACATCCTTCATTCAATAGGAATCCTTTTAAAGGGTATGTAGATTCCTATATGAACGGATTGGTGACCATCTCCAATATGGGTATATCATGATATGCAATCCAACTGTTGATTATAGTTGGATATATAATGATATAATGATATACATACATACATACATACATACATACATACATACATACATACATACATACATACATACATACATACATACATACATACATACATACATACATACATACATACATACTATACATACATACATACATACATACATACATACATACATACATACATACATACATACATACATACATACATACATACATACATACATACATACATATATACATATATATATATATGTGTGTGTATGCATATACATATATAATCATATACATATATGTGTATATATTCCACGAATACCCCATTGATATTCCATTGGGTCACCATGTTTCCTGGCAAAAAATGCCAGACCGTTGACCCTGAACATCCTGATGGGTTGAGGCAATAATATCTCAGAATGAAAGCAAGTTTGCAGTGTGCAGGGTAATTTCTAACAATCGTATACAGTCATAATAGAGTCAGAATACAGTCATAATACGGTCATAATACCGTCATTCATAATTAATGCTGTTGCCGCTGTTGCATCATACAACCTGAAGCATGGAATGCGTTTGCGAGGGTAATGTCAGTAGAATCACTACAGTCCCGGAAATGGCTGAAGGGACAATTTGCAGAATAGCTCTGGATTTGATATGATTTGATGAAAAAGCTAGAAACCAATCAATTTTCCGATGAAGATTTTCCCTTACCCTCTGGTTATGTCAAAATAGCTATTGAAGCCATGGCCATAGAAATAGTGGATTTTCCCACTAAAAATGGTGATTTTCCATAGTTTTTTGTATGTTTACCAGAGGGTAAAATCATTTTTTAATGGAATGTTTATGGGATTTTCCAAGCCCCTGTTGATTTAACCATTTATAGTTGATTTTCCCTTAAACCAATCCATTGATGCCGTCATGGATCGTCGCTGGGCTTCAGGAGCATCGTGTTCATCTGAGAGCCATGTCGCCATGCAAAAGAAGCTCCCAGAACTGGTTCGACGCCGAAGGAGCGTCCGACGACCGGTGAGTTCTCTTCAGCGTTGAGCTGGGCTCGATGTCGGACCTTTGAATGAAACTCCTATAAAATCCCTATAAAATCCCTATAAATCCCTATAAATCTCTATAAAATCCCCGGCACAGAAAGTCAGTCGGTTTTTTTCGCTGGAAAAATCATGAAAGTGGGGAGTTGTCCAGCACATGTTTTTTTCCAGCGGGTACCAAAAAAAAGTTTGCCATATTCATACTTGGTGGCTCGCCCCACTTAGTAAGTAGGTTATAACCCTGGTTATAAGTGGAGTAACCCTACTTATCCCATTTATGACCAGGGTTATAACCTACTTATTAAGTGGGATGAGCCACCAAGTAGGGATGTACGAACCTGACCAGACAAACTGGAAGATGGTGATTGACCATTCGATTTGGTTTTGTACCCTGTCATTGTTTGAAGATGTTTGAAGAATCACAGCATGTCCCTTTCCCATGGTTTCCCCATCAGATATGATACCTCTGGTAACTAATAGCTATGGAAAATCACCGTTTTTCATAGGTAAATCAACCATAGACGAGCTATGTGACTTTCCCAGAGGGTATCTCAACAACTCCATCAGTGACTTTGGCTCGTAGGGTGGATGAGCAGCTCATGGATTTCGTGCAAAAGCTCCTTGAATTCCGACCCAGCAACAGACCATCAGCGGAAGGGGCGTTAAGTGGGGTAGCCAAGTGGACGTGGTGAAGCAAGACAGTCAATTCGGCCGCGGTTGCCATGTGAAAAAGCTTGGGTGGTCACAGCGGGGACCCCACCATGGATGCCTTTAGACAATAGTCTCTGGCCTGGACTGCATTATGGTGGTATAAACGTGTAGAAACTAAACATGTATAAGACCACTCTCATGGGCAATATGATGATGTCTAAACTGTGTTATTTGGGGTCAATCTTCGTATCCTTGGATTTTGCAGTGCTCTTGTTTCCGCCGCCGGTGCAGGTCACGACTTTCTGAGTCTGAAAATTGACGACTCAGATGAGCGCATATGACAGGGGGGCAAAAGACCTTTGCTGATGGAAAAAACGACTGGGAATCTGGGAGTGCCCAGCTGAAATTGAGAAAGCCATCAGAACTCAGAACATCCAACAAAGATCCTCTGCTGAAATATCCATAATTGACAATTATTTTGGCTTGAAAGCATGGGGTAGTCCCCTTCCCAAATATCACATAGCTCCCCATCACAGCCTTGGTGGAGTGTATTGGAGCTGTGCATTTGGGATGGAAACAAAACACCAAGGCTAAGGGAACATATCTTAAATCAATCTACTCTAAGTTTGCTATATGGTTTCCACGGAACCAGGACTTTGACACATACCCATGTGATGTTAACCAGAACCCCACCATCAGAAGCAGTGCCTTTTTAACAGGTGGATCTACAGCCTCCCTTCGCACGCGACGTCTTCAGATTCTTCAGTTACGTCTGGCTTCGAGGCCAAGGTGTTCTTCATTGAGACCAGAAGGGTCAGGGGAACACCCCAACGAAGTGGTCGATATGGGCAAAATCAAAAGGTTGTGTTTGCAAACGTGGAATGTTAACATCATGATCCGATTGGAATTTTGGAAGTGTCAAATTTTGAGCAGTACGAATGTTTGCAGCGAAACCGTTGGTTCTGGAGGAGTTTTTCTTCTCCAGTTTTGAAGATTTCGGGGTGGCAATGTTGAAACAAGCGCGGAACCGGGAATCGGTACTTCCACCAGGTTGATTCCATTGCCGGTAGATACCCACAATTCAAGTCGTGATCCATCATGATGTGGTGACAACCGTGGATGGCACTCCTAAGTCACCCAAGTCAGCACTCTGGGACGTAACAACTCCAGTGCCATACGTGTATTTGTGATGTGGATGCATCATGATGCATCACTCCTCTAGGAACATACTGTAGCTGGCTGGTGGTTTGGAACATGAATTTTATTTCTTCATATATTGGGAAGAATAATCCCATTTGACGAAGTCATATTTTCAGAGGGGTTGGTATACCACCAACTAGTTATGTTATATCTATATATAATCCCATCATATAACCATATATAACCACTATTATTGGTATTATAACCACTATTATTATAACCAACCATATATTTTCCACACCTTGTGGTTTTATGATGACCTTTCCCTTGCTCCAGAGATCTGGCTAAGTGACGATCAGCAGAGCCAGCTACGGTTGTTTGGGCTGGATTCGACCTGGATAAATTCCAACATACTTCAACAACCAGTGTATATATAATACATGAATGCTATAGATAACATAACATGTGTGGATTATACATACCTATATATATATACATATATATAAAGAGAGAGAGAGAGAGTTCATCATAAGATGAAAACATAGTCGCTACTAGACTACTAGACAGCTATTGCATAATTTAAAAAAACGCCTGGCCAGGAGTCCTGAAGATTCTTGAGGTGCTAGTTAAGAACCAGCAGATGCCGCCTTGGATATATGGCTTGCTCTGAAAATGTGACCCCAAAAAGTTATCAGTTATCAAGTAATCATTTATTATCATGTATGGTCGATTTACCTAGTAAAAATGGAAAAAAAAATGGTGACTTTCCATAGTTTTTTCTGCATGTTTACCAGGCCGGGTATCATCATGGTCCCCAAGAAAACATCATCATCTTGTTCCCAAGTAAAATGGCTACTGGAAAATTTGCTGGTTGATCAGCTTGATCCATGTTGATCCAGAAACTGAGACACGACGCCATATCAGTTTGTTTCAAGTCATCCTGGAGTGGTTTGATAGTCGGACATGTCCAAAATCCTATCTGGAATCCTCATGTTTGAAATCCCAATATTCTGCCTACTGGATGATGAAAAATTGACACTGTTTGATATGTAGGCCTTTTTGCTGCAATTCGTTTAGGTTCTAAATGCTATTTCTTGATTGTGTAAGGATACCGAAAGAATCTATTGTTGATTGAAATAAAGGATAGAGTATCATGTATATATATATATATAATATATATATACACATATATATATATAAAGATGTATGCTATGATATATTGTTTGTGTCAACCATTTGCACTATCACTTGAACACTTCATTGAAGATGGGCTCGGCAGCTCAGCAGTGGTGGCCAGCCTTGGCATAGCCGGCACTGCCTTCAGTTCTCGACGATAGCAACGACGATCAAATGGGAGACGTGGAAAAACCTTTATTTTCAATCTTGCACTGCACTCATATAGTCCTTATATATTATTTATTGATTGATTTATTTATTGATTGATTTGTTTAATCTATCTATCTATCTATCTATCTATCTATCTATCTATCTATCTACCTATCCATCCGTCCATCCATCTATCTATCCACCTATTTATTTATGTGTGTGTAATTTCCCCACATAAGTCCACATAAGCTGGTTGCGATCCACTTATCAAAAGTTCACGTGACCGGAGAGCGGTTCAAGGTGTTGTCCAATCGGTCCAAGTGGAACGACGTGACGACTTGTCGTTATCAGCGGATAAAAAAAAGACTCAAAATGGGAAGTTTGTGGCTACATGAATGCTACATGTGTATCCCAATTGTATATTAATGTATATATATATATATATAGTTATATATATATATAATTGCATATATATATATATACATATATACAGTTATATGGAAATACATATCCCTAGTTGGTTGTAAACCACGTTTGTAACGTAGCAGTGATCTGAAGCTGTCTGGATCTCGGAAGCCAGGCGATGGATGGTTGAGGTTGGTGATGATGCTATGAAATCATGCAAAGGGGCTTTGAAATCATGCTTGCTTGGTGATGTGTGCTGAAGAACCAACATGCTTGGAAATCACCGACATTGAAATCATGACAAACCAACCATTTTGTTTCAGAAATCGCTGACAAAACAATCCTTTATGATTGAATATGATTGAACACCACCATATAAAAAACCAAAAATGAATAGATCCAATGCAGATTTTGTGCATTTCACGACCCGAAAAAACATCGGTTTCCACGTTAAACGCTTTGCAAAAAGCCAGGTCAACCAACAGTGATTTTTTGGGCTTGACGGCTTGGGCTTGCCATAGTATATAACTATAGTATAACATAGTATAACCTATAGCCATTGTAAGTTACAGATGTTATAGGGGATATATCCATAAACCCAACTGATCGAGGTTAGCACCATGGTTACACAATGGCTGTATCATGCTGTACCCACAACACAAAAGGCACAACTGCCGTACCCCAAACTACCCCAGTACTGTTTGGTAGCGAAAAAATGCGGCGTATTGCCAGGTGGTCACGAGCCGAGGCTGGCTGTGGCATGAGCAACACAACGGATTCTTATAGCCAGCAGGTCACTGACCACTGTTTTGTTGAATCGAGAAGATAATCCCTAGAATCACTGCGAATGGATTGACAGATCAGAATTCTATACTCATGATGATAGATGATACCCACGTCAGCCACGTCACTGAAAGCCACCAAGTCAACATGCCGTATGTCTATGATCGGGGATTGGCTTTGCACGCGCAGTGCTTACTTCCACCCCATAGGCACAATCTGGAGGATCATCCCGATCGTAAGTGGCTAACCCTGGTAGTAAGTCCCCTATTTGCTGGTTGGTGGTTTCAAACATTTTTATTTTTCCATTCAGTTGGGAATGTCATCATCCCAACTGACTTTCAGTCCATCATTTTTCAGAGGGTAGGGCTCAACCACCAACCAGTATAAGTATGTATAAGTACCATAAATCATAGTGAAATAGGTAAATCAACTATAAATAGGTAAACCAACCAGTTTGTTTTTATCTCATAGAATTGGATGATGGGAAATTTTACAGGAAAACCCTATATTTGATGGTAAAAACCATGGTTTCCTGTAGATTTTCCCTTAAACCAATCCAGTGATTATCCCATTTGTAAATGGCTGACCCCTGGTAACCTGCACACATCGATCGGTCTCTGTTGGTGAATCCCAGGGTGATTTTTTTTCCGACGAGGCACATGTCAGGTTGGTGATGAAATGAATCAACCAGCTATGTCCATTATCATAACCAAGAATAGATATTTTACACAGGCTTAGTTATATTATGTTATATTTATATGATATTTCTGAATATACAGTACTATATGTGTATATATATATATATACACATGAAATTGACGCCGAAAAAATTGGCTATGACGGGTCGCCAGAGTATTTTCTGGGTCACCACAGGACCCGGACATCGCCAATGGGCCAAGCTGGCAACACCTTTGCGGAGTCAGCCGTTGTTTTTTTGTGCAGTTGGCATGGGACTTGGTGTTCGCCATAAAAGAAGTATATCAGAAATAGTCATCCCAAATATGTGATCTCATCCCCTAATATGTGGATGACAGAAATATGTTAATCACTTCATAAACACCTGAATTCTATCATCCCACAGGATGGTGCCCCCAAACGTGATGTGAACGTTGGTGTAGATTCACCCCATGAATACTAGTTCGTTATATCTGCCATAAACCAGTTCGTGAAATGGGAGTTATGTTCACCCCAACTGAACGCGATTTGCCTCACTGGGGCACCACCTAATCTAACATGTGATTTCATCCCCCCAAGGGCCATGGATCCAGGGTTTCGTGGGATGAGCTTCGGTGCGACCGAATTTCGATGCGAAATTTGCCAGGCTGGGTGACCCTTGGAATTGGTCAGGCTGGGCGCTCCGCAGAACCGTAGATTTGACCATACTGAAGCAATTTCTGGTTGGTGGTTTGGAACATGTTTTTTCCATATATTGGGAATAATCATCCTAACTGCCTTTCATATTTTTCAGAGGGGTTCAAACCACCAACCAGATTTGATGTGGCAAGTTTTGGTTGTTTTTTGCTGAGGTGTAGCTGTCAGCATACTTTCAACCACGCAAAACTAAAGCTCACGCGTGATAGCATCAATTTGTCAACATATTCAATCATTCCAGCACCCAGTAGCGCAAGAATCATGCAACAGTGATGAAGGTTTTCCACTGGTGTCAGGGCTTCAAAGTTGAAAATGA